AGCTGGTTCTTTATCAAAACCACATCAAATGCATAGACAACATTCAGCACCTAACAAATCTAAGGTGGCTCCCAGCTTTTTTACTAGCCGCGACTTCGCCCAACTAAAAGGCGCAGCATGGCTTGAGTGTAGCACACATTTGCCTTGTTGTTTCTCTCTTCAGGATTCTGGATTTATCTTTTAACGGAATAAGACGGATTCAGAACCTCGAGACACTAGTCAACCTCAGGGAATTGTTTCTCTCGAATAACAAAATTACCAAGGTGCTGCCTCACACAGGCAACAGCACGCGCAGCAGCAGCAACAGCAGCAACAGCAGTCAAGAGCGTTGGCTATTCGGTGCTGCGTACGTTTGGCTGCGCGTAGATAGAAGGCCTCTCAACTCTGACGGAACTGCGCATGTTAGAATTGGGGTCTAATCGAATTCGCTTAGTTGAGGGCATAGAAAACCTCACAAAGCTCACGGAGCTGTGGCTAGGAAGAAACAAAATAACGCGCTTGGTGGGTTGTCCCTGCTGCATCGCTACATTATATACTAAAGCTAGCGCATGTTATGACTTCATTGGTATGTGTACCTTTAAAGAATGACTGGTGAGTGCCGCTGGATGCCTTCATTTGTTGAAAGCTTAGACTGGAAGTTTTGGATAACCCAAGCTTGCCGTTCGGTGAAGCTTTGCGTTGCGGGGCACCAGCTCGATATGTGGGGACCCAAAACGGTCTTCGTTTTAGCGAGGATCCTCATGAAGGGCCCTCCAAGCCAACAGCTCCATCAGCCCGTTGTACATAAGCTGCTGCCGCCTTTTCTGCTACTGGTGGAACAGACTGCTTCTGGAATTGCTGCAAGGCAGTGAAAGTTTTCGTTATCACCATGCTGATGTGGTCGTGTGTCTCTGTGCTGGAGAACACTTTAGGAATTGCCGTCTTTGCCCCTGCTAGGCCGTGTCAGCCTGCAGTCCAACCGCATCGAGGAGTGGAATACTGGGTTTTTTGAAGAATGCCCGAAACTTCGAGAATTGTACTTGTCGCACAACAATCTCCCGTCCCCGCCCGCAGAGATCAACCGGCTGGTAGCTAAAACAGTTCTTTTCCCTGATATTCTGCGCCTGTTTTGTCTTTTTCTGTTTCCTCGTGTCACGGGGAGCTGAAACTCCTCATGCAGCTGGCTCGGTGCGTTCCCTCCATGAGCGTTTCTTGGTTTCATAGAAAGAAGCGTATATTCTTTGGTTGAGCCTTCGGGCTGGCGTTGCTGCAGGAGGAACTGACGGTTCTTGATTTATGTTGCAACAGAATCGACGATCTGGAGGCTGTGGCGTCGCTTTCAAAGCTGCAGGACCTGTGGGTGAGGTACTGGCCTTTCCTGTATCCGCTTTTCTTGCAGTTTTCTTGTCGCAGTCTTTCGTCCCTTCTCTAGGCCTGCCGTAGATGGCGCTGAGGTTTATGTATAGACTATTTACCTGTGCTACTATGGGTTTTGCTGCAGCTGAATGACAACAAGCTGGAGACACTTGAGAAAATCCGCTGTTTACAAGCTCTCCCGTCTTTGGATACGCTGTACCTTGAGCGGAACCCCCTACAGGCCAATCTGGGTCCAGGGTATAGACAGGCAGTTACAGACCTCTTACCGCGTACGCCTTGTCTGCGTACGGAGCTGTCACTACGATGATTACAAGGTTACTGTTATAGGTATCCTAGTTTAATTCTTTACATGCAGCGTCCGCGCAATTTATGTTTATAATAAATAGTATTGTTACACTCTTCGTGTCATCCTGCAGGACTGTCGCAGTTGGATGCGATTTCCCTTAGTGCTACCGTCCACATTGTGCAGCATGAAGCGAACGGTGAGGACCGAGGGTGTGCTGGTTGCTTAGCGCCGCCACGGCTGTGGCTTCACAGCGACATGAGGTCCAGGGTAATGGCAGCTAAAGAGTCTATACTGGCAGTTACTTACTTCCTGGGTGGAGTTTACACGGGCAGTTACTAACTTTCTGGGTATCTGTTCTGCCGCTGTGTTCCGCAGAATCCCGCGTCAAGCCAATATTAAAACGCTGAATTCCTCATTTTCCCGCCATCTCACTGCTGTTTCTTAGTTGGGCATTGTTTTTTCTCCCATGCGTTGAGTGGCAGAAATGAGAGTACATCTGGTGATGCTATTAGAACTCAGTGAAAGCTAACACTTGACACCAGAGCGGGAGCTGACGGCTCATAGTAAAGCGAAAGAAACTGGTCTTCAGCAAGCTTTACTGACGCACCCTACGTCCCGTATAGAGGGGAAATGGACCTAGAGCAAGGCTGTGTATGAGATCTTCAGTGCACCATAGAGGGTAGTTGCCAGCCGCAATTGCCAGCGCTTGCAAGGCGTGCAATAGGAGCAGCACATGTGGCAACAGAGAGCGTATGCTAATGAGCCCTCGCTTCACGACGGTGGATGCATGCAGGCAGACTAGGGAACTTCTCTACCAGTGTAGCGCTTCGTACCTTCTGCTTGTTTCGTGGCATTTCTGGACCAACGGACGCTGGCCGACTACACAGGTGTCATTTGTAGACTAGTTGTTGAGTCGAAAACGAGGAAACGAGCCTCTGAGGCAGAGTTCCCCGGAGTCCCGTAGTGCACTGTATTTTTCAGCTAGTTGGGTTTCCAGACAGTTCCACTGAGCTTTCGGGCAAAGCCGGGATGTTCACAACAGAACTAGTGTCAGAGGGTACCCGGATGTTAGAGTTTGAGCTCGGTTTGTGTACCAGAAGCTTAGCATATGCTGAGTTCACGAGGTTCTCTTGCACAGAGGCAGGCTGTTGAATTTCCTTTGGTCCTCTGCCGCTTGAGACGTCTTACTTGCTTTTCGTTAGACGTGAAGCGTCCTAGCTTTTCGCTTGCTAGAACTCCTGCCCCTGTGTAGCTCCTTGGAACTGCCAGGAACGTCCCGGTCGGCGCATTTTAGAACCCGCTTTGAGCGTGCTCCTCTTCAAAAATGTTCGTCGTTTTTGCTTAATATGGGGAAAGTGTTGAGCAGGCCACAGGCTCGTGTGTCGCTAGCCTGTAAACTTCCTGGACCTGGTGGGCAAATCACGGGACCACGTGGCAGTCTTAGTAGACCACAGTGTGAGACCCCAGGCTCTATCAGGGCATCATTGTATGTATGTGAGTTGGCGGCGATAATTTCGGGCTGTTTACGGGCTCTGTCCTTCTTTGTGGATAGTAGGTTTCAGGTTCAATGCTTCGTGATGTAATGGGACTGCTTAAAGTATTATGCTGCTGGCGTCCATACATCAGAACGCTTCGTGGAGTCAGCGTACACAAATATTTGCGTCGTTGGCACATGGATTCTCATACGTGGTACGATAATAATTAAAGTGTGAATGATGCCGCAGTGTGAGGTGCCCGTGATGTCACTCCTGCCAAGTTAGCGTGCCTGTGGCAGACGTAGCTTGGTGATGAATGCCTTGATTGTCTGAGGATTTGTCTTGCTCTTTTCAGTGAGCGTAACACTTCAGAAATAATGAGGAATGTACTCAATCTGTAGTGCAGGAGGTGTGGATGCCTTCTGCACTTCTTCCGATCCATCTTCGCACACAAGCTTCAATTCGCTTTACAGAGCACAATCCACGTTCCATAAGCAGAATTCTGGCCTCTTTACTCCCCTTTCAACTCAAAGCTTTGCTGGTACCTCTCCTAGCCACGGTCCTATCCACGCTCTTTGTGAAACTGACGGTGGTGGTGAGGGAATGAAGCGTCAGGCATCTGCCAGGCTCCGCTAAAAATGCTGCGCGTCAGCAAGGCCTTAAGAAGTTTTCTAATTAAGGGACACTTCAGCATGGCACTTTCAGGGGAGCAGATCGACACGGGGCTGCTGAGAAATTTCTCGAGCCTCTTGCGAAGCCAAAGGGTAGCAGGAAACAGAAGCGCAAATGCAGGGCCGTCCACAATATTTCGCCAGTGCACTGCTTTCGCTTCTTGGGTATTCCTTTTTGGTGGATACGCTGGTAAAATTTTGCGCTCCAACTGCGGCTCCCTGATGGAAATGCTGTCTGCACTGCGTTGCAAAGGCGCTAAGCTGAAGTACTCCATTTTGTGCCGAGTGGTTAAGTTGTTCTCCCAACCGCATGTCTGCACTTCGTTGAGTTGGGCTGGTATGGCGCCAAACTGAGGACGCATTCTGGTCGTTTGCTGAGAACTAAGTTTTAGGCTGCGGCCGTCTGCATCTAAGTCTGGTATTTCGGAATGGGCTGTAGTCTTTGCACCGCGGGACCACCATATTCCCAATAGATCCGCAGAGAATTTGACGGAACATGGATCAACGTGATCACCAAATAGCAACAGCGAGACCCAAAATGGTGCATAACTCTAATAACCTCTCAACAGCGGCTCTTGCTGCTCTTCATATGGGGGGGAAGTAATACGTTGTCCCCTTACGACATAAGAAGATACCCCAAGCCTGCAGAGAGATGGCAAGAAAGGCAACTGCCGTGAATGGCCATTTACCGTTAGCGGAGAGTGTAGTGCCTCTTGTTTAAGCCGTCATCCAGGAACGAAACTCCCAACTAAATTTTTGTGGAGCCTGTTATTCCGGAGGTGTTGTTTACTTAAAAGACAAAAAGGGGCAAAACAACGACGCATATATCAAACAAAGACAATGCACACCTGCACCCCAACACCGCACTTTTCGTGCTCTCTGCGTGCTGTAAATTGGGTTCCCACAACTGAATCCTGGACGCCATGCCGCTGAATAATTTGCATAGGAGTCAAGTGAAGGATACAATTATTAAAGCTGTGTACCAAAGAGCACGCTAAACAATGTGTGCGCAGTTGGTAGGGCACCTCCCACACCATGACAAGGAAAATTTGCGACCGGGAAACGAAGCTGCCTAACTAGGAGGCTAGCTATCGCACTTGCCATCACCCTAAGCTGTACAAAGGCCATTTGGCCTGCGATATGGCAGCAGAGGATCGTGCAGTGTTCCGGCAAGAGATGTTAAGGGTGGTGGACTGCATGGTTGCTGTTCAGCTACTGCATGTGGCTCAGGAAGGTGTGCTGCTGCTTCAAATAATCAAGTTTGAGCATCTCATCCGATTGCTGCTGTTGCTGCTGCAAATGAGCTTGCTGGAGGTGGAGCTCTTCTGGCAGTGGCAAGCGCTGCAGCTGCTGCTGCGGCAAAGTGGATCCATAGTCCCATGCCGGACGGGCGTGGACCTGCTCCTGCTCCATTAGGCGCTGCTGTTGCAGTATTTGTTGTTGCTGCTGCTTCACAACGTGTTGATACTGTGAGGAGTCCATCAGCAGGAATTCGTTTTGCTGGTGCTGTGGTATGCCTTGTGGGTGCTGATGTTGGGAAATGAGCTCGCTCGGGTGTACGAGTCGCAGCTTCTGGGGAGCGTTGCTGTGAAGGATACCGTGTGCTGCAGTTTGCTGCTGCTGCAACATCTGCTGCTGCTGCATCTGCCGCAGCAGCTGCTGATTATCCAGCAAGACCGACTCCAGGGTATCTGGGCTGTAGAAGGAGGCCCCCGAGAGAGCTCCGTTAGAGTTCCTGTTATCGTTCTGTAAGCTAACACTGTTGCAGGCATTAAGTGCTGTTGCTGTCACTGCTGCCGTTGCAGGAGCAGTGTTCGAATCCTGAGCGGGGAAATAGGCAGCAGAGTGCTGTGGCAAGTAAGATGCACTCAGGCCATCGACCCCCCCAGTTGGACAGCACGCAAGCGACGCCCACTGCTGCTGCTCGTGCTCCTGTTGCTGCTGTGTATGCTGCTGTTGCTGCTTCTGCGGGTACAGGGAAGGCGGGAACGACGCAGGCACTACCATCATCTGCTGCGGCGCCTGCTGTTGCTGCAGTTGCTGCGAATACGCAGATGGCAAAGATGAAGGGAAAATCTGTTGATGCTGCTGCTGTTTTTGCTGCTGCGGATACGCAGAGAGCGGGAAAGAAGGGGGCGCCAACGGCATTTGCTTCTGCTGTTGCTGTTCTAAAGTCTCCCCAGAGTAGGGCCAGAAAGAGGCTGCAGTTGTCTTTCGTGTGTAAGTCAGCTGGGCTGCACCCGAAGCTGCTGCTGCTTCATGAAGAGGCATGGGGGCAAGCGAAAAGGATGGCACCGTCAGGTGTTGGGGTGGTCCTTCTGAGGAGATTCTCAGTTGCTGTTGCTGCTGCTGCCAAGCGGGCCTCACAAGGGCTGCTGCGGCAAGACTGTGGCGGCTGTTATTGCTGCTCATAGTGTCATGCTGTGGATAGTACAGCAGATTTAGTGTACCTTCATCCTCTGCCTCATCAGCTGCAGCAACAGAAAGAGCAGCAGCCGCAGCGCCGCTGCCGCTGACAGGGTTTTCTAATTGCTGCGGCCAATTTCCAGAGAACGACGTGCTTGGAGAAGGCGTAGTCCACCCTGAAGGCTGTTGCTGCTCCTGCTGGCGTTTCTGCCTTCGCTCCTGTTGCAGCTTTTCCTGTTGCTCCATCTGCTGTTGCACTTGCCGCTGCAGCTGTTGCCTCTCGGCTCGTTGTTGTTGCTGTTCCCATGCTGCAGCAGCCGCCGCGCCAACAGTCTGCCGCTCGGGCACTACATTGAGAGGCGCTTCCTCGTGTACCCGGTGCAGCACAGCAGGCGCCGTGTTGCTCTTAAGCAGTTCCTTTAGGTTCTCGCTGCAGTGCTGTTGCTGCTGCTGGGGAATGTCAGGAAGCTGCACGGCTGAGGTACCTCCCCTGAGAGAACGCGTGGCAAGCGGCAGTTGCTGCTCGACCTGACTGCGCATCCCCAAGCGTTGGATTGTGGCGGAAGCAGTACAGTTAAGTCTGCCAATAGATGTTAGGCGCTCCCACGCCTCTTGCCTCTCTGCCTCCAGTTGCTGCTGCAGCATGGGGTCAGGCTTCTGTTGGAGGTGGTTGCCCCTTTGCTCTGCCACGTAAGACGGGAGGGTCGTTAAGCTCTGAGACCGGGGAGGCATGCTATAAATTGGTTTTCGCTGCTGCTGCTGCTGCTGCTGCTGCTGCTCCCAAGGGTATTGTGGCGGCCTCTGCGGCAGCAGTGGCCGGAGCGAAGCACCCAAAGCGTGGGGCAGGCCTACTCGAACTGCAGGAACAGGCTCTGGCCCTTGTGTCTCGGGAAACGGCAAAGGAGGCCTGCAAGGGATTGCACCAGAATGGCGAACCGGTGCGGCAACGAGGTGTGCCCCTTTTGTAACGTCCCTGGTTTGCTGGTTGATGCATTTTGCAGTTGCGGTTTTCTTTATTGCTGTTGCTTTTGTCGCTGCTGCAGGGCTTGCTGTGGCAGAGGTAGCAGGTACCTTGCAGCGGGGAAGAATGTAGGAAATACCACTGCTGAGAGCGCTAAGGACAACGCCTGAGCCCCTGAGAAAAATACCAGGTAGACTCGAAGCAAGTACTAAAATGTAGGGAAAGAGAACGGCTCTGACCGGTCATGCTTAGCCGCACCACTGTCGTATGTGTCTAATGAATATTGTCTACGGGATGTGGGTAAGTATATTGATATGTGTACTGTGACACACTTTTGCGTATGAGTAAACGCCCGAGACTCCATAACTGCTCACTGGAGTTGCGTACATGTGTACATTCTTCATATACATTAGACGTATATTGCCTATGTATTTGTTTTCGTGCATTGTCTCGCCCACGAACATTTATGAGCTCATTTATAGTAGCTGGAGTATTTGCTGTCACGACGCATTTGCAATAGCCCACTGAGAAGTTGTGCACTTGCCTGTCTAGGTGATCTAGGAGCCCCTCCATCACTGCAGCTCCAGGTCCATCCACGACTTTTTCCGCTGCTTCTGCTGCTCTAGCTGCAGCTGCCTTTGCTGCTTCTTCTCCGGCGCTGGCCAGATGTCTTAAAGTCAAGTGCAAGCCAGCAGCTGCAGCCTCTCGGGCTGCTGCAGCGAAGGACAGGCCCGTACTGCCGCTGCTCGAAGTTGCAGAGGTCGCTTCCCATAGCTGTCTCGTTGCTGAGTTAGCTTGATGCTGCTGCCCCCGCTGTTTTAGCTCTTGCTGGCCGCTGTTGGCGGTACACGCAGGAGTGGCGCTGTGGCTCCTTAACGAAACAGATGGCCGTTGCGGACCTGAGGTGTCTGAAGGCTTTGTCGGCTCCTTTGTCGACGTTTTCCCACTGCTGCTGCTGTAGCTCGTCATTCGTGTGCAATCTGCGGTGCTGCTGCTGCTGCTGCTGATGCTGTTGCTATTCCCGCTGTTGTTGGCAATGATGGACCCGCCGCTATTACTGGCGCTGGAGGTGCTGCTGCTGCTGCTGCCGCTGCGGCTCGGGGTTGCTGGGTGTCGGCAGCGCAGTTCGGGCGGAGGCCTGTGCATTTGCATGAGGTACTCGAGTGGCTTCTCAGGAAGCAAATGGTCTTCTGCATCTGATGCGACAGTCTTTAGCAAGAAGTGGTCCAGCCCAGCGGCGCCCTGCGGGAGAGGCAGCAAGACAGTGCACGCAAGTGTGTTCAACGTGTGGTCTTTCCCAAGCTTTGCACGTAGCAAGACTCAAGAAATGCTGCCTCTGGCGCTTATCATTGCAGCAACACAGGCAACTCCTGCAGCCAATGTGGTATGCCCAGTTGCTGCCGATCACCTCTACTATTCTCCGGTGCGGGACGTGAATTCTGCAGGCCCCCCTTAGCCGCTGTTGGCGGCTCTTATCGGCCCAGAATCGAGGGGCGATGGTTGCTGCGGCTGTGTTCCAGGAATCTTGTTGCTGTTGCAGTAGCTTTTGTTTAGTGAGATGGACAGATAGAAGCTGCTGCTGCACGCAGCCATCACCGACTGCAATCAGGTCTCCTTCCTTTGTAAGTAGCAACAGGCGGGCCCCCTCAGCAGCAAAAGCTACGCTGCTCAGCGACAAACGGACTCTCTCTGGGTTCTTCTGTTGAAGGAAGAACCCCACATCCTCGACAAGCTCGAATGGCATGGGGAGCGCAGCAGACCATTCGGGAGAGTCGTCGCTGAAAAGACACCACAATCTCAAGTACAAAGCCATAAACACAAAGCAAGTGCTAAATAAGCAGCAACGACATCATATGCAGATAATGACACCCGCTGGAACTCCAGGAAACAGCTGTTCTCACCTAGTCACAAAAGACTGCACGTCTCCCCAGAGCCACAAATCTCCTGTATCTGATAAAGCTGCACTCGTGATGCCGCCTGCGGAGATTTGCTTGATGTGGAGCGTCTGTTGCTGCGGTTGCTGATGCGGTTTTTGCTGCTGTTGCGTCTGTTTCGGCTGTAGACCTTCCACAAAAAATGAAGCGTCAGGAATTCGGGCGGGTGGAACCACTGTCATTGCAGGTGGCGCCGCGAAACCTAAGCAGTTGTTGGTGTTGCTTCCCCATGTGTACAGGCACTTGGGGGCCGCTTTGTCTGTCACTTCAGAAGGCGGCCCTGAGGTTGTCCCCAGAGAAATCGTATGCAGAGAGCCGCAAGCGACTTGCGAGAATCTGATAAGATAGTCAGCCAGGCACCTGAGCTGCGCACCCCCTTCCTCCACTAAAAATGAGAGCCCTGCAGCGTCTGCTGTCACCAGAGCCCCTCTGGTGTCTCCTTTCGGGGCATATCCCAGATCGAACCAGCCCCCCTGACTCGTACTGGTGCTGTTTACGCTGCCGTTTGTAGCGACAATCGAGTGAATTAGTGTGAGCATGCTGAGTGGCACGCAAGAAAGGTCAAGCAGCAGTAGTTGTTGGGGAAAAAGAATGATATTGGTCTCCTTTGAGAGGCCACACTGCCCGTGGTTGTTGCTGCCCCACACAAAGAGACACCCTGCTGCTGTTACTGCTGCCATATGGGAATTACCACAAGCCACCTGCAGCAAATGCTGCTGCGGATGCTGCTGCTTATCGACGAAAGGGGAGAGAAACTGATCAAGAGACAATGGAGTTGGTTGAGACCTGCTGTGCGTGTCTCCATGACCCAAGACGCCACTTGCATTGTGGCCCCACGTGTAAAGACTCCCTGTAACGGTAAGTGCAGCGCAGAAGTCGGGGCCGCAGCAGACGGCAGAAAATACTGGACCAGAACGGGAAAGTTCATTTCGGGGAGAGAGTGCACAGCGGTTTCCCCCAAGCAAGGCCGGTAGAAAGACCCGCACTTCTTGCTGCTGCTGTTGCTCCCTGGAACACTTTGCAGCTTCCTTTTGTCCTATCACGAGTTGCGAGCCTGCAGCGGATGTTGGTGTCCAGAACAGCGAAAGATCTAGCCAAGAGAAGCGGAGGGCCTCACGTAGCCCGTGGTCTCTCGAGTGGTCAGCGGGATGCCTTCTCAAGATGCCGCAAATGCTGCCGTTGCTGCCGCTGCTGCTGCCGGAGTCCGTGTCTTCCGCATAACCATCAACGGCCCCCCAACTAAAGAGGTGGCCCTGCGAAGTGACAGCTGCGCTACTGTTGAGCCCTGCTGAAACACTGCGGATCTCCCCAGGTAGAGCCACCACCTGCTGTGGCTGGCAGCAGAACCTGCAGCAGCAGCAGCAGAGCAGGAAAAGCACACAAACAGCAGCAGCAAAGCTGCAATACGTAGTTGTACTTAATTCCTATCAATGCCTAAAAGCCGAAGCAAACCGGCAAAGAGAGCACTGAGAAAGCTGACAAGGCAGCAGCATTAGCAAACAGGGCATTCGGCACAACCGACCAGACATCGGTCCCTTTCGCTGCTTTGATGAAGTTGTCGCGTTCTTCTAAAACTGGATCTACAGGGAAGTAGGCCGCCTCCCCAAGCCCAAGGGGCCCTTCTTCATTTAGTCCGCAAGTGAACAAAAGGGGCTGTGGCTGCTGCTGCCACTGCAGCCATTGAAGAACGTGCTCGCAGCATTCTCCCTTAAGCGCATATGGTGGCAGAGATACCGAGTTCTCTTCCACTTCAACATCCTTTACCTGGCTTTTGTACGTTGTTGGGTCGTTTGCTCCTACAGCAGCAGCGCTCCCGACAACGGCAGCAACCGCCCATTCTGCGGCGGGGTCCCCCAAGTCTCCTCTGGGGCAGATGGCAGAGCTCCAGTGTATGACAGGTGCCCCTAGTCGCTTTAGGTTGTAGAGGACAACTGCACATGACACGTGTGGCTGCAGAAGGGGATCGGGTAGGTGGCAGTGACGGTGCTCTGGATATTTCGGGGTGTACGTGCACCCAAAGAGCCGTGAGGCTTGCTCTTGCTGTTTTCTCGCTAGTGGGGATGTCGGGCGAGCCAGTTCAGACGGCGCAAGCACTGACGGCTTACTCTGCTGCAGTTTCTGCCGCTGCTGAGCAGCAACAGGACTGCTGCTGTCGGCAGCAACAGCGGCAGTATCAGCGGGGTTACAATCGCCTGAAAATCCACTTACGCCTTTGCATTCAGCGGGAAGCACACGCTTATCCACTGAGAGGAGAGGCAGTAGTGGAAGGTGGCGGGGGACGAGATGGGGAGGACCAACTGGCAGTGGGCAAACACCAAGTCTCAGTCGCAGCACCCTCAACAGGTCCGAATACACTCCAACACGGGCTGTCGCTGCAGCCGCTGTCTCCACCAAGGAACCAACGATTTCGTTTTTATAAGTGGCGCTGCTGCCGCTGTTGTCCATATTGTTTCTGCTTAATGCAGCATCTGGAATTGCACAGCCACAGTAGGCTATCAACAGCAACAACCAGCTCAGAAGAGAAGCAAAGGGGTGGCCTGCTCCCTCTGAGGACACGTAACAACAAAAACGCGAAGCAGACAGCTTAAAGTAAGTAGCCCTTGCAAACGCTGAGTCAGCTGCAACCAACCCAATCGCGGCGAAATTGAGACAAGCAGAAACAGTAGCAGCGAGGGGTGCTTGCCTTCAAGTAAGGGGCACCCATAATGTTTTTGAAGCAGATCAAGTGAGGCCATCAGCCGTCGCTTAGCAGAGGCAGCGAAGCCGCGTTTCAACCGGCAGAGGCCCCTGAAAAGGAAGCAGAGAGTGCCCTCTGTGGCATGCGCGCTGGAAGGGCTGCGCAGAAACTTTACCTACAGCGACAGAAACACTATAGCGGTACCTAGCTAGCCAGGACTACAGCGATGAATAGCCAGCCAGGGAAGTAACTTACAGCACAGCAGCTAGAAGCGACCCCTGTGGACCCCTACGGGCTCCTCCTAATCGAATTCCCTCAACTGCGTTGGAAAGAGCAGCAAACAGATTCAATTGATGCTGCCTTAAGTTGCTCCCGGGAGCACAGAAACCGCCTTCTAGACCATAGGGTACAAGACGAGAACCATCGGACTCTACTGCTTCTGCTGCCGATTGTCTCACAGCGGGACAATCCGCCTTCTGCTGTTCTGAGAGCCCGGAGAAGCCGAGCCAGCTGTCGAATTGCAGCAGCAACAACATCAACAGCCGGAGTAAGTGGTCGTCCGCCCATGCCGAGATGCCGTCAAGGCGTCTTCCCAAAACGTACCCCGGCTGTTGCTGCTGGTGGGGCTGCTGCTGCTGCTGCTGAATGTGTTGCTCCTGCTCGATGCGATATGCCGTCCACAACTTTGGCTCGGGTGGGGCCAGCGCAAGAAGTAGCAGCTGACAAAGAAGGCCACCTCGTAGTGCTGCTGGGGCCGCAGCAATAAATTCAGGGGACAAAATTTGTTTCACAGCCTCCCCATGAAAGCCCTTTGGCGCCTTGAAGGGGTGCGGTAGGGAGGCTTCAGTGGGAGCAACTTTTCTGATCAGCGAAGGTCGGAGCTGACGCTCTTGGAATGGGAGGGTACAGGCGGCCAACGCGCCTTGGGCGTCCAACCACCACCGGTCCAGCAAGGGGGCCCCTACCAGATCTCCATCTCCGTACAAATCCTGGGAGTCCACAAGAGGAGTATCAACTTTAGCAGGATGCAACACCAACTGTGTCAGCAGGAGCACCGAAAGACAAGCTGTGCCGTTAGGCAACGGAGGCTTGACGGCCACGCGGCCCCACTGCAAGCACTCAAAAGGTGTTCCGGTTGGCGATCCCGCTGTTGCTACTGACATTATTCCTGTTTCAGCACATATCTGACGAGCATGCCTGTAGCGACAAAGGGGTAGTGCGTGGTGCTGCTGCTGCAGCTCGATAAAAAGGACAGAGGGGCTCCTTAACGCGGTGGAGATGCAGAACCGCAGCAACACGGGTAGCGGAAGCAGCATGGGACTTAAAGCATGAGCTCGAACAAGAGATAACGCAAGCGATAGGCAAACGCGGCGGTGAAACAGGAGCAAGCAGCTCTCACTGATATCTGGATTACATGCTGATGGAGCCGGTACTGCTGGTGCTGCTGCTGATTGGGCAGCTGCTGCCACTGATGGCGAAACCCTCAACTTCTGCTCTTGCATAAGCCGTTTGGCTCCACCTGAAAATGCCCACAAGGTGGTGCAATCAGAGAAGTGTCGACAGACAGAAGTTGCGCTGCAGCAGCTGCAGCAGATCTGCTGCTCGTACCGGAGCACCTTCTGCAGAGCGCAGCCTAGGAGGGCACAGGCTGCTGCAGTAGCAATCAACTGTGTCTTGCTGCTGCAAGGAAGCATATGCGATCGCTTCTCCGCAACAGCAGCCGCAGCAGAAGCAGCTGCTGCAGCCGCCTTCCTGTCGCCCCCACACCATTCTGGCAGTTGCATAGGATCTTGATGCAAGAGCACCAGCAGTTCGTCAAACACCAACCACAAGCCGACACCAGCAGAAATTCCTTCTCGCCTTAAAGCAGCTTGTATTGTAGGTCCATCAGTGTGGGGTATTTGCCATCTCAAGAAGGCCTCTGCTACAGCTTTGGCTCGGTTTCTCCAGGTGCTGCTGCATTTGCTACTACTGCAGCTGTTACTGCTGCCACTCCCGCTAAACAAACTGCAGCACCGGTTGCATTTAAGAGATGCTTTAGGCAACACGGCGACACTAGTCGACTCTATGGGCGTTCCAGAGAAACAAGTTGCGGCACATTCGGATGTCCAGACGTATGACTCCCCGTAGACGTAGTCGGTAGCGGGTATATCTCCGTCTGCTGCAGCGGCTGCAGCGGCTGCAGGCCACGTGATGGGTGCCGCCGCAACTCTACATCGATGGCAGAATGTTTCCCTGCTCCTGCTACTGCTGCTGCAAAATTGTTTTAGTTGAGAGTCTGCCACGCTGTCGCAAGCGCAAGAGTGTTGACGTACATGAGGACAGTGCTGTATTGGTTGCCAGATGTGCTGTTGCCGCACTTCAACATCATTGACGGCCAAAGCGCCCTCTGCTGTCGCTGCTGCTGCCGCTACTGCTGCCCTCAAGAACGCCTGCTGCCTCTGTTTGTGCGTTGCAGCACCAGAAATCTCTAGAGGGATAAACGATGGTAGTTCTTGGCCAACTTCAAATACAAGGCCATACATTCGCCGTAGCTGGCACTCCTCTTGGCATTGCTTATGAAGCTCTTCGTGCTTTCTCTGCTGGTGCGGCTCCCCTTGATCGTTTAGTAGTTGCGAGAGGCGTTGCTGTACCATCCAGAACGTGTCTCCTGCTGCTTCAAGTGCATCAGCATCAGCGCACAGACCTCCAGCCAAAGCAACTGTTGAGTGGGGAAGTGACGGCAACGGGTCAGTGACGGCCAAAGGAACCCAAAGTTCGTCTTGCTGCTGCTCCTGAAGTTTCTCATTTATGCCGGTCTTTTCGAGGCCACGCTCAACTGCGGCTGTTGCTGCCGCTGCTGTTGTTTCTACCTCGTGTTGGTATCCCCCTAAAAAGCGCTGCACAAATAGTAGCAGTGGCAGCTGGCTATTTACACCACTTTGCTGCTGCTGCGACAGTTGTGCAGGACAAACGAAAAAACGGAGTCCACCCAACTCCAAAAGCAGAAACAAGGGAGAGAGCGGCATTTCCTGCTGACGCCATATTCCTGCCTGTGCTGCCCGCTGCTCCTGTTGCAGCTGCTGCCAAAGCCTGGTGCTCCCAATCAACTGCACTATAACGCCCTGAATGCACACTCCTTGCAAGAGCAGGTCCCTCAGGCGACGGCGGTAGGCCATGAGGAGTAAAAAGTCGTCTCTGTTGCCTTTGTTGACACTGTTACTCCTGTTGTCGCATGCACCATCCAGAAATTGCTTAAAATCAGAAAGGAAAAGAGCGAGGCTGATCCTTCGGGCACCTGCGAGCACTCGTAATAAGTCTGTCCCTCCAGTGTCCCGTAAAGGACCTACTTTGCTGCCAGGGTCAGCGTCTGATGCGGTGCTGCCCATACGAAGAGCTGTAGGGGGTGTCACTCCTCCTGCTGTTGCTGCTGCAATGTCTGGGGGTGGACCACACGCTGGGACATGCGGCTCCTGCTGCTGTTGCTGTCGCTGCTGCTGGCTTACCAACTTGTCGATGCTCCGGCTGCGGAGGCGCCTGAGAGTTGACGCTAGGCCCTGGCGGCTCAGGCTACGGACCACGGGGCCGCTGCTCTGCTGCGGCAGCTGCTGCAGCTCCTGGTGCTGCTCTCGATCTGTCTTCGGCCTTGAAATCCGTCCTCTGCCTCGTAAAAGAAGACCCATTAGCTTTCCTCCGCTGGACTGTTGTTGTTGCCGCTGCGGCTGTGCAGCAGCAGTGTCAAATAAACTTCGAGCTGCTGCTGCAGCAGTGGACATGCTGCTGTAACGGCGAGGCATTGAGTACCCGGTGCTATCTGACTGCTGCTGGGGTTGCTGCTGCTGCTGCACCACAGCATCTGGGGGCTCTGGAGGGAGTCGACAAGCTTCGCAAGTGCATGTCAAGAGTTGACGCAGCAGAGGAGTGGGGTGCTCCTCCTGCTGCAGAAGAAAAGCAATGCATCCTGCTGCAAATTGCTGCAGCTCACGCTGCAGCAGCAGCAAGGCTTTCTGCCACTGGATACACCGCAACAGCTGTTGCTGACACAGGTCAGGAGCGCCCTGCTCTTTGGTCACTGGGCTGCTGCTTTTGCTGTTGCTGTCCTCTCGAACTGAACTACAGAGTGAAGGAAGCGGTAGGATGTCAATGACGTGTACAGATAAAGCACAAAAGAACTGTTGCTCTTCTGCCTTGCTGCTATGCAGATACACCTGGAATGTTGCTGCTTCTCCCACGCGGCAGCACCATATGGCGCGAAGAAGCAGGGCTTCTCCTGCTGCAGTCCACGGCTTTGTGTCTTCTTCCTCCTGTTGCTGCCTCTCCAGAAGCGTGAGGTACGCGGGGTGCAGGTGCAGCAGTAGCCGCTGGGACGTGCCAGGCTGGTTGCGGGCTGCTGCTGACGGGCGTAGCAAAAGAGAGGGCGTGTGCACTTGGACATCAGCAATGCAGCAACAATGAGCCGGTGGGTATGCGCTGCTGTTATTGTTGCTGTTCCCTTTGTTGCTGCTCCCCCTGCTGTTGCCTCCCTTGATCTTAAAGAAAAGGTGTGTTTTGCTGCCACAATCTAGGAAGGGTGAAGAAATACGGTGCTTCAGCGATGCGTGCAGCAACAAAGAGCCAGCATTTTTCTGCTTACCCACTTGATCTGTATCTGCAGATAGAGTAGCATCGTCTGGCTCCCTACGAGTTCTTTGGATCTGTCGAATAGTTACAAAGCTGAAGGGCGTCTGCTGTCGTTGTTGCTGTTGTTGCTGCGCCCCATATTTCCCATCACCGCAAGGATCTCCCGTTAGAGGAGGGAGGTCTTCTTGCACCACTCTCAGAAGTGGCCGATACGGCGCAGTGGGCAATACTGGTGCATCCCCTGAAGCAGCAGCATTAGCTGCAGCAGTGGAGGCTCTTGCTGCAGCCGTAGCCTGCTGCAGCTGGGCCTCTCTTACTACGCTCTCACTCCAAGCTTCGCGGAGCAGAAGCCGTCGGTCTTCCTGTGAAAGACAACTGCTGGGCAGGCCGTCCTCTACAGTAGGAGCGAACTCGCAGGAAGTCTGCCAAGATCCCAAATCCTCTCGGCTCACGTCGCCTTCTTCGGAGGCCTCAAGCCCGCACATGTTGCAGCAGCACATCTGCAGTGCCTCCTCTGCTGCATCCCTTGCTGTAGTTGCGGCTAGTGTTGTGGGTGCTGCCGCTGATGCTGCTGTTAGGTTGGAGGCAAGGCGCACGTATGGGCAGTCTCCCACTTCCTCCCCCTGCTGCTTTTGCTGCTGCTTCAGCATTGTTAATAGCTCTTGAAGCGCTGACCCGAAGAGTCTTTGCAGCCTGAGCCACTCAATCTGCCAAAAGCGAAGAG